ATGTTACCTTGATGTTAGCTTGATGTTAGCTTGATGTTAGCTTGATGTTAGCTTGATGCGACCTTGATGTTAGCTTGATGTTAGCTTGATGTTACCTTGATATTAGCTTTGGCGCCGCAACGGTAGAATTTTCGACGTTTTTCTCTAAAACGACCTGAAGTCTGGGCTGAAACACGAAGCTGTGTTTCTACTTCACCGGTAACGTTGATGGAAGCGTCATAATAACATAAATATTTAATTCTATTTTACATCCGCAGACTTTCAGAACTCACCAAGAAGATTCCAGAACATCGACGTATCAATCGCGACGTCTTCTCCTCTTCCTCCTCTTTCTTCTTCTTCTGCTGAGTCGTCTTCCCCTTCTTCTTCTTCCTCCTTTTTTCTCTTCCTTTCTTAATTCCTTCTCCCCCCCCCCTACTTCCCTCACGTCCACCAGCTCTTCCTCCTCTTCCTCTTCCTCTTCTAATTCATTTTCTACTTCCTCCTCCTCCTCTTCGTCAGTTCTAACGCAGCAGGTGTGTCTGGACGTTAAACAGGTTAGAACATCTCGTGCTTCTTTGTGGTTCCGTGGGATCGATGATTTGAATCTGCTCTAATTGAATTCTTACCTTTTGGAATATTAGAGAATGTCCACTTCCTGTTACCTGTGATAACATCCGCCATCACGATGGAGGGTCTGTGTCCTCCATTCAACCTGTTTGACCTGTAACGAGCTGTTGTGCTTTTCGGTGCTTTCTCTTAGTTTGTGTTGTTTTGTTTGTGTAGACTGAATTCAAAGATGTCACACCAGCACATATTATTGTATATATTATTAATAGTATAGCCTCTTCTCCTTCTTTAGCTCAAATCTGTCCTTTTCTTGTATGTTTGATTTCACTTATTGCATCGTCTCGGGTTTTTGAGCACAATATAGACAAAAAAACAGAATATGCTCCGCACTGAGATCCACATTCACTCACAGATGAATGGTAATAATCCTAAACGTTTATTCCATGATTAAAATTGTTTTTATTTTATTACGGGAAAAGCCAACTTCCCAGCTCCTGATTTTAAAATCTTAGTGGTGGATAAGATCAAAATATCAACAATGAACAAATACAGTTAAACGAAAAGAATGTGGGCTAACACTTTAAATCACTACAATTCAAGATTTGAGCATTTTTGTTGTTTGTTTACATGTTTTGACTTTTTGCATTTAGCGGGCTAAATTGTCAAATTGTCATATTCAGATGTCCCACAGGAGAACAACCTGTAGCTGCAACATTGCACAATGTCATTTTGTCATTTCTTAACATCCTAGAATTGGAAATAGATTGTGTTGAAGAAAAAAAGAGAATATGGCGATTTAAAAAAAAAAGAAAAAAAAAAGCTTCCTAACACAAGTGCCTCAGTGAAGGTGTGAGAATGATCGTTGTGCAGGGGCAGCTTCCTCTTTTTCTTGTCAGTAAACTTCTGCTGAAGACACCTCACACTGCAAACTGTCATGAATCCTCACCAGGTAAAAACCATAGACTGTATATAAAGAGGTAAAAACAGGATGACCCTGCAAGTGTCCTGTAGGTGCCTGTAAGGAATTCCCCCACATCCACTTCATTCCATGTAACGTAACTATAATTATATATAGATACTGATGATTTGAAAACCATCAAAATTAGCCTGCGCAAATTTTGCCACCTCATACTGAGAGATTTTAGGGGGTTTCCCAATCTTTCACTTTTTTTGAAAACAAGAGTCTCAGATGATGGTTTTAAAATGACACAGCATGTATATCAACAACAGATAATTATGTTCTGTTTAACTGATATTATAGATAAGGTACAGTAATGAATTCTTAAACAAAACAGCAGTGTTTGGAGCCTGAACGTGAGGATGTGAAACAAGTATTGAATCATTGGTCCTGACCCTGTGTCCTTATGAAGATATATTTTGCATTTAAAGACCAATTTGCATCACAGCGACAAGACCAGACTGTCCCATTTTGAAAGCAAATGAAGGTCCCAGCAGGTGGATCCTTCCCTATCCCAAGATGCATTGCACATTGGTGACAAACCAATTTTTCCAAGAGGTAATGGCAAATGACGAGACGTCCGTTGCTTGAGTATCACACTTCAACTCAACGAATAGATAATGGTACACAGGTTAAAAACTTAAAAGCTTAAAATCCACTTACATTTAATGCAAATCTAAGCTAATGTCTGAGGCTTTATATTTACCATACAGACAATAGGGTGGCAGTAATCGTCTCGTCTAATTCTCAGCAAAACAGCTAATTAGCAAATTTACCAAAATGACTTGTGCCTCAGTGGGACAGTGAAAGTATTAGTGGTGCTGGGTCTTCCAGCCTAATTGCTGTTTGCAACTAATACCAGAATGTTTAATGGAGTTTGTGAGGTGGTCTGTGGTCAGAGGGACTAGACATTGATGTTATCGCCCGGCTTCTGTGTGTTTGATTCCACCCCACTATACCCTTGCTGAGGTTGATGATTAGCAATTACGGGACTTTAAAAAATTAAATGGAACGAGCAGCCCACAGCAGTGTGCAGTGAAGGTCACTGCAGGAACAAGTGGTTTTCCACCCCCGCAGATTGTAGGGCCAGAGTTTGAATGCACTTCTCTAATCAGTCACACTTTAGAAAATGGTATGAAATGAGTTTGCTTGCATCCTCCTGTTAATTTTCCCATCAGCGGCTCAGATAAAGGAAAGAGATGAGTCACTCAACCATGACAATGACCCTGTTTTCCCATTAATTCAGTTGATTTTTATTCTGTTTTTTAGGGGGAAATTTCTTCTGTTAGTTTATTGTTTGAAGAAAGTTGATGCATTATTGATATTTAAAATACTTTAGCTGTATTTAAAATGTATTTATTTGATGTGGCGATGCTCGTTTAGCACGTAAGTATCACCGCAGACATGATCGGAAAATGAACCCTCAACCTTGGAAATATTCGCTGATATTAATAGCCCTGTGCACGTCTGCATTCTCTCACCAGTTTGGAAAAGCTCGACCCAAACAGAAAGCAGTGGAATTCCCCTAATGAGTGAGATTTTCAGGAGACACCACCATCAAACCCACAGAGAGAAAGGTATTTATATTCGTACCTTAAAATACACTCTCACTAGATTAGAGCGTGGTATTCGAGAAGTCACTACAAACAGGATCTGATGTCATTGGAGACAAAAAAAAAACTTAGATCAGAACATGTAAATCAAGCTGTGGGTCTTATTTATGTAAATCAAGCTGTGGGTCTTATCAATTTTCCTGCATCAATTGATTTTAAAGGGATATTAAACTCTGTTTGAATAAGATAAGGGGAATAGTGAAAATAGAAAAGTCATAAAGTAATAAGTTCACAAAAAGTATAATATGAGGAAATATCAAAACATATGAATGATATATAGAATCCAAACAATACATATAGTGTGGCAGGATTGCACATATAATATATTTAAAAATACAGAAAATCGGACAGTTGAATTAGTTAAACCTGAAAGATACATACATGTGGCGCTGGTTGTAATAAAAATACCGATAAAACTTTATTTCTGTATCGCACTTCTCTAAACAAAGTTAATGGGCTTCACAAAACAAAAATAAAATATTAAAAACAAACATCCATCAAAACCAGTTAAACTGGGCGTTAAGAGGCTTTCCTTTTCATAGCAATGATTTAAAAAAAGGTAAACTGCTAGCGAGTCTCAGCTCCAGGTTCCTCTGGGCATTAATGGCAAAATCCAGGTCACCCTTAGTTTCCTGTGTTTGTTGCAAGACTTTAGATGACGGCTTGGATTGTAGGGAAAATAGTAGCTCTGTGCTCTAACGGGGGGACCAGACTGTGCTGAACTTTAAGTTATTAAAAGAATCTTAAAATGAATCCTATAACTAGAAACGAGGGTCTAAGGACAGAGGGTGTCACTCCCTGCACAGATTGTAAAGCCCTCTGAGGCAAAATGTGTTTTGTGAATTTGGGGTTGAGATACTGAAAACAGATGCAGTTTAAATCTGATATTTACACACAGTGCTGTACCAGTAGAGGGCAGTGTAAGACTGAAGATAAAATAGTATGTGGAAGGGGTGGAAGGTTATTCTTCTTCTCAAGTAGGAACATTTCAAAGTGAAATACATAGTTTTTAAGTTAATTAATCTTCAGGGTTGAGTAATTAACTTTATTATTACCCTTATCAAAGTCCGCAACAAACTGCAAATGTTTATGTAAACTCGCAGTTTTCTGTTCACTTTCAGGTGAGAAAATAAAAAATAAAAAAAAGTGGTTTGATTCACATAAAAACAAGTTTACCCTACAAAGAGAAACTGAAGATGAAGCCACATGTGTTTTTAACATATTGAGAAATCAATATAAAGGAAAATGTTGCACATTAAATTACATTAACAGCATTTTTTTACCCAGCTCTGTGAGTGCACTGTGTGCTCTGAACATTATATACATCCAGCTTTATGATTTCTGATGAGTAATGAAAAAGTACATCTCTCAGGACTTAAACACATGATATATGTATAGTAACGTCCTTACAAGTGTGATGTACACGTAATGGGCTGCAGAGAGCTCCACTAAACGCTTTATTGCACCGAGTGCCCCCAGACCTTGAGAAACCAGAGCCCGGTGCCCCATGGCTAACGCATGTTTGCTCTGACAGCCTCCACCATTGATAAATAACAGCAGCTCTTCTTCAGCCTGCTGGTGCAGTCGCTTTCAGCTGCAGCTCTCCAATGCGTCTCCACAGCCAAGATTGAATCTTCCCCATTCATTAGACTAAGTGGATGAGGCTCTCTAATAGGGGCTCCCTTCCCCTCAATAATTGCCGTTGATTGGCGTAAATTAGACCCTAGTTGCCAGACGAGTGATTCTCGACGACGATAATCCGATTCCCAACTCAAACTAATAGGATTTTAACTCTGGCTTTGGCCTAATGTCCGTCTGCAAGCCCTGGCGATGGCCCTATGCCCCATCTAGCCGACGTCCTCTGGATCATATCTGGACCAGGCCACGCTGAAGCTGCAGTGAGTGCATGGATTCAGCAGGGTTAGGGCGCCGGGTCATTGCTGTCCTTAGACCCGCGCTCTCAGTGACTCATCCTGTGTATGACATTCTTGGCATCAATTGGTCATTCATGCGTGTCACTTACATCATCAGGAGAACATGCGTGTGAATGAGGCTGGAGTCTGGAGGGGGACAGAGCAGATGTTGGATGTCTTCGGTTGATGTGCAGCTCCAGTTCAGGCCTGGGCGCTGAATAATAAGACCTATGAGAGCTCTGAGTTTTGAAAGACAGTCTGGATGTAAATCAAACTCCAAAGCAAACAGTCGTTTCAATCCCAGAAGCCCATGTTTTGTCCCAGAGGCAGCGTTCTCCTGTGGCTGGATGTACA